GTGTGTGTGTGTGTGTGTGTGTGTGTGTGTGTGTGTGTGTGTGTGTGTGTGTGTGTGTGTGTGTGTGTGTGTGTGTGTGTGTGTGTGCGCGCGCGAAGTTAAACTTAGGGTAGTGATATTGTAATTCATTTGTGTGTCTCTGTTTCTTTTGTGTGTGCAGTATGCAGGTTATGTGTGCGGCATTTCCTGTGTGACACCAGCCTTGGGCCCTATGTTTGGGTGCGCAGCAGTTGGTGTTTCCTCGGTTGCTGCAGGTCAGGTCAGCGTCGTTGCACTTGTCAGGCCTCTTCAGATTGTAACTAGTAGAATCTTCACGTTTCTGTTCATTCCTTGAGGTCTGAGCTGAACTTTTTCAGTTATATGCATCCTTTCCATAATGAATGTTTCCTCTTCTTTTGCTCTCATGTCGTTCTATCATGTGCGCTTGTTTATCTCCAGAACAATGGATCAATGAGTCAATGCAAAGGGGTAGAAATGTTGGGACTTGTTTGTCTGTCCGTGGAGGAGGCTGTATCTGTTTTGTTTTGCAAAGGGGAACATATTGCTGACTTTGAGGATAAACTTGCTCTCCACTCTTTTACGTGTCGATAATATTGGGTAATTGGTGGACTTTGCACATAACCCCTTAGATTTCAACTCCTTAGGATCTTTGTGGTCTGTATTGCTTCCATTAGGGGGGTACTGCTGTTCTAGATGTGAACAAGAACATGCAGCAGTGTGGGCAAAGTCCAAATTGACAGTGGACTGTGAACAGAGGGAGGCGAACCTCTCAATTAGCGGAGAAGAAGGGGCCAGACATTAGGAACTTAAGAGTGATGTAGAGGCTAGAGCCGCTAGACATGGGGAATTTAGAGTGAAGTAGAGGTCGTTCCAGGCTTGTGTTCAACGAGGCAAGGCAGCCCCTGGGCTTTTTTTTTTCGAAAAATGGAAGGCCTTCAATAAGTTGCTAAACCCTAAACCCTTACCCTGATTACGGTACCTTGAAGGTCACAAAACCCTCAACCTGAAATTGTCGATCCGTAAATCCACTCATCCTATCAAAAAACACTAGTACCTTTGTCGGTTCGGAAAATAGTGGGTGTTCGACCTTTCAGGAGGCGGAAACGAAATGACAGCCTCCGATTAGATTTATCAACGGCAGCCGTTGTCGGGCCGGGCCTCCTAAATGTTCGGGACTAGGCTAAAACTTGTCGAAACCGACGGCAAAGGTACTAGTGGTTTTAGCAGCATTGGCCGTGGGGGGAAGGTCCATGACGCGCTGTGCTCCGGATTTGGGTCGAAGTTTTGGTGAGGGGTGGTGGATGAAGGCGATCGAGGACGGGGGAGTGTGCAGTGGGGTGCGCGTACCAAAATGTTCACAGCGCGCCATTAAACGAGAACGTGCGCCCCGGGGGCGGGGCTTAGGGGTGTTGGGGGGCTGTATGGCGGTGTCGGTGAGGTTATTGGGGTTTATGGACTCCCACTTTTTTTTACTTTTTTTTTCTTTTTGTGGGGTACTGACAACCGCTGTCCGGTGGGTGCCGACCAGACGACGGGTCGGCTGCCTACCAATAAAGGGGCGCCGACCGATGGCCTGTGCAACTCTGCCCCTGGGTAACAGTGAGGCCAGACCAAATCCTGTACATGAAACTCTGCAAGTGCGAGTACTGCGTGCAAACTGTTCATGGGTAACCAATAACTATGCTTAACGAACCTATGGCAATGAGCATGAGAATCTGAGGCCGAGGCCAAAAGGGCATGCACGGACAGAGAAGTGGGTGATTGCAGAATTGTACATCAGATGGATGAACTGGAAAGCTGAAACAAGCGGGAGCGCTGTGGCAAACCACCCAATAGTGGTTGTTTAAACCACCAGTACTTCCTAAAGTAGTGCCTGTTAACGCGCCACAATTTTAGGAAACCTACGGGCCACTACAGGAGCGCCCAAATTCATCCAACTTGAAACGTTTCTACTCTATTTTTTTCTGCGGCCGATAGCTGGGCCAAGTACTGGTGGTTTAAGGCAAGCTGTGGGTCCATGGTGTTGGGTCTGAGGACTGAATTTAGAAGTCTGTTGCAGCTTTGGAGCCAGCAGGTGGCGGTTGTCGTTGAGCTTGGAGTTCTATTTGCTGTGTTTTTGTTGTTGCCTTGATGCAGCTATTGAAGCTGTTGCCATGTATCTTGTTGTGTGGGTGCTTGTGAGTGTGCTTGGGAGTGTGCTTGGATGTTCTCATTGTGATGGCCTTTTGTCACGTCTTGATATTTCTTTGTCTCTCACTTCTCTTGTTTTAGTGTGTACTTTGTTGAGCTTTGTTCTCCAGAAGAATGCAAGGTATACTTCGTGGAGATTTGCTCAGCTGCACATTTGTGGGGAACCTTGTGCCTGATGAGACGACTGTGTTTGTGAACTTCCATGTCTGCTGATTATATAGGCAGTCAGAATTGTGGAACAGGGCACATGTTGGCACTTTGTTATCCGGGATGCCAAAGCTCAATCACGCTTTCCAAAAAATCAGTCCTTGTTTAATCCATCCTCAACTCCTGTGAAATCGCCTTCGCTTCCTCCCCCCGTCCCCCCCCCCCAAGAAAAGCCCTTTCTATTCTGGGGGCCATCAGTCCAGTTGCTTATCACCGGCAAGCAGAAATCAAGTACAATTTTTTTAGAAGAGAAAGAGGTTCTAGCCTATTTTCCCTGCCGCCTGAGACAAGGTACAGAGGGGGCTAGGGAGGCACCATCTGTCAAATCGGCTTCATTCTACCAGTTGCAAAATGTGAAAATGGTGAATGAATCTTACGATGATCTATTCAAAGCTACACTTGCCATTTTCACATTCAGCAAGCAGCGGAACGAGGCCCAGTGTCTTGGGTGTTTGGGCTCTGATTTGTCCTTATGTCCTTGACCTCACACATGAACCAATGTGCACACATATGCACATGTACACACATGTACATACACATGCAGGAGAAAAAACAAACAAACGATTTTCCAAGCAGGAGAGGAGGAAGAAGAAGACGAGGAGGAGAGGAGGAAGAAGAAGAAGAGGAGAGGAGGAGGAAGGAGGAGAAGAGGAGAACAGGAAGAAGAAGAAGAAGAAGAAGAAGAAGAAGAAGAAGAAGAAGAAGAAGAAGAAGAAGAAGAAGAAGAAGAGGAGAGGAGAAGGAAGAAGAAGAAAACGAGGAGGATGAAGAACATGCTCTTGGATGCACATGTCTACCTCACATGCAAACCATACTCTCAAATGCGAACACAAATGCAAGCCAGATGCTCTCAAACCCGAACACAAATGCATGTACACCTCTCTTTTCCTGATGGATTGACCGATGACGCTACTGGTTGTTATGGTTTGCATTTGAGATTGACCGATGACGTTAACAACATGGTATCAGGCTGTCCGTGCTTTTATTCGTGCGACACAATTTCTTGGTCTCTTGGTTGATTATTATGGGCTTTTGTTTCCGGTTGAATCCCTGGGCCTGTTGGGCTTTGTTATTGGTAGACTACATTGGTGTCGGCGATTTTCATCGGATTGGTTTGCAACTTTGCATTTATGCTTTTATGTCAGTGGACTGCACAATTTGCAATTTGTGGCTTCTGGGGAAGACTCTTTGGATGGGGTTGCTTGGGCAGCTGGGTGGTGCATCAATCTCCAAACCCCACAATGTCTTCGACTGTAAGTCTAAGATTTTAAGACTGCAAAAGGAACTTGCGAACTTGACATGTGGGCAGGCAGCAGCAGCCATGCATCGGCTGATTGAAGTCGGGGACCTTTGGCCAAATAACAGCTTTGGAGCGACGCAGAGAGAAGAAATACTGCTGCATGCCCTAATGGGCATCGCAGGTTTTAAGGTTCGACTTTTGCTCCCAAGGTTCCCGACTGTTAGTGTTTGTTTGTTTTGTTTTTGTTTTGTTTTTTTTGTTTTTTTTGTTTTTTTGTTTTTTTTTTTGGGGGGGGGGGAACTGTTAGCGAAGTTCTCCTTCCGCTTTCGTTAAATACTTAAGCGACTTGAAAAAAACAAAAGAAGCGCATGTTTACTTGTTCTGTGGAATGACCGAGGGAGATCGGTTTCCACATATGCCCTGGTTACTTTCTTTATTGAAACCGAGCAACATCCATCGAACTCCAAACATCGTGCAGAGTCAGCAATCCACTAATTTTGCAAACTCAGTGGTGAACTCACTGTGGAGACTCAGGCAACACTCTCACTTGGACTATATAAGACGTATCGGACTGCAAATGCGGCCAAATTTTGACAAATGCACTGCTAACTCATTGTTTGATGTCCCCATACAAAAATCTACCCATGCATCGGTTGGAAAAATCCTGCGTAGACTGGTCAAGCACACTCAAGGATCTATATCTACAGGAGCATGCATTGTCAATGAAAATTCTATGAAAGCCTGGATGTGCACACGCTCCTTGATCTTTATCCCGGCAAAACCTGAGGCTTGCATTGGCTGCGAAATTCTGTGAAGGCAAGGATGTGACATATTGTGGAGATGTGCTTGCCAAGGCGGAGGTGTGTGTGTGTGTGGTGGGGGGGGAGTAAGAGGACCATGAGATGGGTGGCAAGCATTTGACCTTAAATTGCATATTGCTTTCCAAATAAATCTTACACGCGATATTCCCACCCAAAGTCCACAAATTGAAGCAGAGTCCGGAAATTGACCCTCAAGACAAACTGGGTAAATGGTTCGGGCGGCTTGAAATGGCGGCCGAACAATCCGTGGCTCAGTAGATGATGCCAGGCATGCAGGTACAGGATCAGGCAAATTGTGTGCACGCATCTGGTCGACCCAAGGGTCAGAATTCCTTCTGGACATCCATAAAAATTGCAACGACACAGAGAAGATTAGCATGGTCCATACACAAGGGATATGAAAAAGGGGGGAAAAAAAAAGAGCCATGGGTTCGGACTTGGATTGGATTGGGTTGTTCTCTGTCCTCCCCAGGAGTAAGACAGACATTGTCAGTATCTGTGATCCATTAACTGCCTTTTTTACAATGTAATTGTTATTCCATAATAAAGATGATAAAGGTATTATATAGCCCTATATTCAGAAAAAAGAAGACAGTATAAAGTGGTAGCCAGAAGTGCGGAGATCAGCTTGAGGAGTCAATGCAAAAAGGACCGAAGGAGCTGCAACTCCAAAGGATTTACGGCAGAATGCCAAGCCGTTTTTTTTTTGTTTCTTTTTGACAATGCCACTTGCTTTTCGCATTTGTTGCCAACTTGTGGAGTTTGCGCTCGTCTTTTTATTTGACTGTAGTCTGAGCTTGCCCTGGCTTCTGGCAGTTTTTATGCTAAAAGCTGGTGTCCGAAGTCTAGCGGCTGAATTTGCTGCTTCTCTCTTTCTGTGTCCCCACAGGCCCTTGGGGGTTCTTTCCGGAATGTCATGCCCAGTAATCTCGGCTACCCTGGCGCGCTGGCAAGGTTCTCTATTCCAGGTATGTTACAGATCTCTCTCTCTCTCTCTCTCTCTCTCTCTCTCTCTCTCTCTCTCTCTCTCTCTCTNTCTCTCTCTCTCTCTCTCTCTCTCTCTCTCTCTCTCTCTCTCTCTCTCTCTCTCTCTCTTTTCCCGACCATTTCTTGATTTATGCGTGTCCTCTTTGTGCAGGGGCCGTGCTAATCTTCTCTGTATTGTCCCAATTTTGACGATGTCCCGGAGGACAGGTTGGCGATGTCCTGGAGGACAGGTATACTACAGAGCTCTACTACACATTCTTTGGCCACTCTTTGCTGCTGATCGAGTTTGCTCAACTTTGCTGTCATCATCCATTAATTGCTTTTGTTACTTGTCTTTTCCATTCTTCGTACTATGTCATTATGACTACCGTCTTCACCCGAATAGAACGCCCGGTCATTATCGCGGCATCTGGACTGAATGTTGGGCCAAATGCAGCTATAATGACCGGGCATTCTATTCGGGCGAAGACGGTAGGGGAAGTAACCCTGCTTCCAATTCACTGAAAAATACCTTACAACCAACTGCCCTAGGTTGGTTGGTAGTACTTGGTACATTCCTTAACTGTTGAAATACAGACCCGAATTCGAAATTCACTGGAAGCAGATGAGTGAAATACTATAGCTCTGAATTACCTAGGGCTGGTCAGTTCGATGATAATATCTCAAGGCTGTCATCCTTTCTTTTCCAAATAAGAACAAAAGAAACCCTTACATCCACTGCGCAGATGTGTATGGAATCTGGATGGTGATTCCTGTGAGATGCATGCATGTGAGTGTGCCTGCCTGCAGAACACATCGCAATACAGTTGCACTGAGGCCATTGGGTCATTCTTTCTTGTTCTAGTGGGGCGCCCATGGGCCATTTCCATCCGTTAAAGACCCCGTGAGAGCTTTCATTCCCCCTGTTACAGGTTACTGTCCGATATTGGTTCTTGTTCGGCGTCGGGAAACATCTAATTGGCAATCTCTTTTAAAGACCTTTTCGTTGAATAAACAGGGTAACATTATTATATCCTTGACGATAGCAACTTGCAACCTAACCTGTTCATTGATACTCAGATGTGCATAGTACTGCATACCATTCAGCCACTGAACCGGTACAAGGTGTCTATCTTCAAGAATAGACAAAGTAATAGATGGAGAGGACACCAGGTATCCTACAATAAGCTTTTGCAGATCACCTGCCAAAGGAACTCCTGTCAAGAATCACCCACTTATCAGGGAACTGAGCAGGACAATGTGTTACAGACAAAGGGTTGTTTTTTCTTCATGATTTGAAATTTACAAGAAGCGGGAATACGCTAGGATTTTTCCAAATGAATCTGTATTCAATTTTCAGCAGACTAGAACCTCCCTTTTAGAGGCCAAGGGCCTCGTCGCACGACTCACCAAATGCACAAAAGACAAAAATTATGGCGGTGCATCTTTCCATGTTCTCGCGGAAGATTCTTTCTCATTTTGTACATGTGGTGAGTAGTGCGGTGAGGCCCCAGGGGTGAGGACTTTGTCAAATGAATCTGGTGTGAATCTGGTGTGAAAATTACAAACAGACTAGAACCTCCTCTTTTATATTAATTACGAGGTGAAATAACTTTTCTAAGTAATATGCGAGGACCAGTAGGCCCTGAGGTGGTTGTGGCCAGGTAGGTCAGGGACAAGACCAAACTGCCCAGCCCGTGGAGGCAAGGGCCTGGCTGGGATCGCTATCTGACCAGTTGGGAAACTGGTACTGGAAGAGACTGGACCTAGGCTGGAATGGAACCCTGCCTTGCTACATATGGAAGACCTGTGGCAGCAGCGCCTGGGTACCTACATATGGAGGAGGCAGAATATGAAGTCGTACCTGATGTCCACAAACAGACACGTGAGTGGTGGCCTTCAAAAAGACAAGAAAAACGAAGATATCAGCTGATTTATGCTCTGCTTGGATGCAGACAATGTGTGCAGTAGCTTAATTGCTAAGCAATATTAAACTTAGGATGAGCAAACTGAATCTGACGGAGGAGAATGTAGGTGAGGCAGGTGATGGTGGTGGTACAGGAAGATAAGAAAACAGCACATTACCCGCCGGCGGCAGAGGCAAAAAAAAGAAAGAACACTGTGCCGCAGACGGAAACTGCAGGAGATGGGGGGGGTAAAACACAAACTACGGAGGGGTAGAGGGGTGACAAGTTTCTAGCAACTATGCATTAACTCTCATTGTGTAAGGGAGTAGTTTCGACTCTCTAGACAACTCTCTTCGGACCACCAGTATCTCTGAGTGTCTTTTTCCCAACATGGATTTTCTGCTGCGAGCCGATTAAGAATGAACCAGTGTAGGTGCAATTTTGTTTTTGTTTTTGTTTGGTGCCGACAGCCATTTCGGTCTCGTGGGCGGAGCCCTGAACCATGAGGTGCGTGAACGGCCGTGTCGGAACAGAATGGCTACCGTCTTCACCCGAATAGAACGCCCCGTCATTATCGCTGCATCTGGACTGAAAAATACCCCGAATACAGCTATAATGACCGGGTGTTATATTCGTGTGGAGACGGTAGGTAAGATAGTGACGGTTTAACCACAAATACTGGCTTAAGGTGCCAATGCGGCTACTCTTGACTTGCCTGACAGACCTGACATTGCTTGCTGTGATGTGTATTGTGTGATCCTTCAGCATGAAAGCAAAATTGTAGGTTTGCTATCATCTAACATTATTGGTAGTGTGATATTAATATCTTAATTTAATTATGAAACTTACTCATGACTTGGGTTTCTCTTTCAAGTTCAGATATGCTGTCGCACATAATAGTAGTTCATAGGTGCAAGCTGATGCACACAGTTACTCTCTTGGACTATGTGATCGATTAGTAGTTTTCACATTCGCATTGCATATGCTTCTCAGCTTCCAGTGTTCCTGCTTCCAATGCTATAAAGGAAATGTGGGAATGATGAAGTGCTGCAGGAGGGGTAAGATGTGGAGAGAGAGAGAGAGAGAGAGAGAGAGAGAGAGAGAGAGAGAGAGAGAGAGAGAGAGAGAGAGAGAGAGAGAGAGAGAGAGAGAGA